AGAACTACCATAACCTTTTGATCTCTACCAACAATGTGCGAGTTCTCGTAATTCACTCCGATTCCAGTCTTCTAGAGTGCACAAATCTTTGAAGTGACCAAACAACTGGGATCTCGCCAAGCAGAATATCATGATGTCCCGGTTGCACTTTTGATTTATGCTGCTGTCGGTGCTGGTGCAAATTCAAGCATTCGAATTTCGCGCTTGGCCTTCTTACAAACGATGTTTCTGGTACTGCGGACAAGTTCTAAGTGAGATTAATATTTTGGAAAGGCTTAGTTATTAGGGAAACACTGCAACGTTTCCTCCTTGTTTCCAAGTTCTGAATTCATTAATTGCTCCTGTTATCGAGGCACTAGGAGCGGCCTTACTGTTTTTATTTTAAATAAATCTTTGCTAAATATTGGTGAAAATAGAAAAGAGCAGTCAAAACTGGAACGCTAATTGTGTGATTAGTTATAAGCGACTCGCTAGTCCAGCAATCAAATACTCGGGTGACGCCGAAATCTATTAATTGCTACACGTCAGTGTATTGTCACAAACGAACGTGTTCTGCTCAGCAGCATTTTCGGTGAACGATGGAGGGTCTACATTCATTGTACTCATTTCCTGTGATCCACATTTCTTGGAAGCTTGACAAGGAGGCTAGGACAGATACACCTACCCAGACCGAATATTTACGCTCAGGAGAGGCAACGATCCTAATTTTTATCGATCTGAAAAAGGAATTTTCATAGATCTAAGCAGATAAGGCGATTGATGAGTGACTCATTCCTAGGAACAAAATACAGACCTAGGAACCAAAGCAGTCATTTCTTTGTCCGTGAGCTCTGCAAGGCCGGAAAACAAGGTGTTTCCCTCTTTTAAGATCGTGTTGGCCTACACATCTTTTCGAATGTCAATACTGCACTTCATAACCTAGTTGCACAAGATCTCGTGGACTCCACTGCTTCCAACCAGAGCAGTAATGGCTAAAAAATCGTCCTCTTTTTTAAGGAAATAAAAGAAGCACGTTCTAATGTACACATCTGGCAAAGAGCTTCAGAGCAACGAAAAGCGCTCTGCTCGAACAGAAATTACTTTACTGTCAGGGAGCTTAAACGTCGTGTGAATAGAGGACGGCAAGGCAGTCTTTGCCATTTCCTTTCAAAATCCAGGTTGGTGTAACACAACTTTTATTTAAGTTCACAGACAATTTGACGCTCTGCAGTAGTGGTAGACCAGTGACTTCATTTGATCAGAATCTTTATCGTCTAGTCAGTTAGTTGACTATCCGCAAGGTTAAGACGAATGGTTTAATGAGCTATAGCGTATCCCTGGAACAAGCTATGCAGTCAGCTAACCAGGTGATCGAGCATATTATCAGCGAGACTTTACCTCATATATAAGGACAGTGTGAGTAACTCCGTTTCCGAAGTGAAGAACTACTCCACTAGTATGCCTAGAAGCGTATAAGAACAGCAGAGCTTGGATAGCCGTGTACACACCGGGTGCATTAAAACTCTCAAACATGATCTGTATCATTTTTTTTCGATTAGCTCTTGTAATGAGCCGTGCTTCGGTAAGAAGCACGCGATGTTCTTCAGGAGCGACACGAAGCTCATTCTAAAACACGTGGT